ATTGCAACAAGACCTGCAGTTGTTGGACCGATTGATCGAACTGGCACCGGCGGAGGAAAGTGAGGTGGTTTGGTCCCGTTTGCCGGTTCGAAACGCCCTGCAACGGTGGGGGAAATTGAAGCAGATGCTGGAGCGGGGAGGGAAGGGGAGAGAAGGAGGGGACGTTTTGGTGGGGGGGGACGCGGCGTCGCTGCAGAAAGCGATGCAGGTGATGAAGGAGGAAGTTTTGGAGGAGATACGAAAGACGGAGCTTCGCGTGCAAAAGAGGGCGATGCGGGCCCGGCGTTCCAAGGAGCGGGAACGGAGGATGGCAGAGACCAAAGTCCGGACCCGGTTGATGAAGGAAGAGAGGAGGTTGAAGAGGATGGAGGAGGCGGTGGTGCGGGAGCGGCGACGGAAAGAGAAGGAGGAGAGGAGGAAGAGGAAGAGGAGGGAAAGCGGGTTGGAGGCAGTGTCGATTCTGGCCTCCCTCGCGACGAAAGGGTCGGTGAAGGAGAAGGAGGAGGAGGAGGAGGAGGAGTTGGAGGAAGAGGAAATTGTAATCACCTCGGACAGTGAGGACGGGGAAAGGAGAAGAAAGAGGAGAAGAGGGGGGGGGCGTCGGGAAGGGAAGGGGGAGGAGGAAGGAGGGGAGGAAGAGGAGGAAGAGGAGGAGGATTAAAAAGTGGGCGGGGGCGTGTTTGCAATTCGAAGAGCTTGTACTGAGAAAATCATTGTGCCACGACCGGCAAAATGAAGAGGAAAGACTGCCATCACAAGGACTCGCACAGTCTGTCACAAAGGAGTTGAAACATGATAAAGGGTGGGTGAGGAGGTGAGGCCGTACACGGCCAGCAGCCGGTGTCTGGTTGCTGATTCATCAACGTGCTTTTGATGCGATGCGTTCAGCATGGAACTGGTATGTCCCACCGTTACAAGTGAAAGACTCGGGGGATAGGGTACGGCCGCTTAGTACCTCTGAAAAGGAGGGATGTAAACCCGATAAATGGCGCGAAAAGTAAGTGACTCGATGAAGCTTCCTACGGTGCTTTGTGGAGGGGGAAGGATCACTTAGGATTCAACCTGATTTTCTCTTCTCTTTCCTGGTTTCTCGGGGCCAATGTGTGTGGCGGTGAACGCGCGCTCCCTGTAGGTCTGTTTTGTTTCGTTTCCACGCTCTCGATTTACGATTATCCCCCTTCACCTGTGTTTCGGGCTCAATTCATGGATCCTCCCCTCCCTTGTGGGCGGTTCTGGCAGTTGCTCCTTCCGGCTCCTGCCCCTCGCCCTGGTTCACATTGACTCCCTGCTTCGCTTGCTTGATGCATGGGCACCCTATTCTCTCCCGAATATCCTGACACTCTGCCGTCATGATACCTGCCCGTTCGTATGCCAGCCCCTAAATCACCTTTCTGGAAAGACTACCTTTGTAGAAGGACGCAGACCACTCTCGATCCTCTACCCCATCAATCTTGTTTCCCTCCATTTTTCGGGTGCATGTGGCTGCTTCTCCTCCCATCCTTTCCTCGTCTTGGTGTGCGCTTCCTCTATACATCTTACATTTATCCCACATCTTTCTTCCTGGTTCTATCTACAGTGAGAACAGTCCCATACATCCATCCGGAGGCCCTTATGACCTAATTCTTCACGACTCAGTCCCCATACTCATCCGCCGCTGCTTCTCGTCCTCCCTCTCGACCTCTTCCAACTCCCTCGCCACACTCAGCATAGAATGAATCTGCTCATGGTAATTTGCTTTGAAGTCTTCCTCCGCCCATGGCAACAGTCCCAGCGCCGCCTCCAAGCATGCCTCTGGCCCGCTTTCTCTCCCTTCCTCTCCCCCTCCCATCATCTCAAGCTTACTCACGCCCTCGTTGTACAAAGCTGCCGCTAGCCTGGAGGCGACGCGTGAAAGGGTGCACGAAGGGGCGGGTACGAGAGATTTTGTCTCGATTCCAGCTCGAAATTCCCTCACCACCTCCAAGCCAGCCTTGGTGCCTCCCACAGCATGGTAGAGGTCTAGATAAACCCACAGCGCTTTTTCATTCCTTTCCTCCGCTCCCCCATCCCCTTTGGCGGACGTCGATGGATGTTTCTGCAGTTGCCTTTGAAGGGCAAGGCGAAAGAGAGCCACTGCCGACGTGCGGAGGGAGGGAGGGAGGACAGAGACATAAGACGATTGAAGGCAATTGCGAGCTAGGGCGTGGAGAACTTCGAAAGGAAAAGTGAGAAGGGTTGACGTCTCCTTGCTGATCAGAGCAGATAAGCCGAGAGTGGGATCTTCCACCTGCTTATCCTTGTCCTCTCCTCCCCTCGAGCCGTTCCCAGTACTATTCGCCAGCCCAGAGGCAGAAGAAGGGCGAGAGGATGGTCGCGAGCCAGGTTGGGAGGGCGGACGAGGAGTTTGGAGGGAGGAAGTAGAAGAGCCTCGGATTAGAATTTCGAGAAGGATGATGGTCTGATGCAAATTATGACAAATGGGTTTGAGCGCCGAAGTTTTGGAGCTGGATGAAATTCGTGTTTTTGCTGTATGAAGCTGACCAAGGTAGTATGAAGACTCATCGGGGGTAAGGAGAGAGGAAGCCCCCGACCGGGAGGATAGCGAGGAAGTAACCGCCAGAAGGAGGAGGAGAAGGCCATGTTTCTCTTCCTCCGTCGTGGGAGATATAGAGGTCGGAGAGGGCGGGTATGAAAGGGAGGCTGGGCCGAAGGTAGCTTCGTGGAATAGGTGGGCGGCTCGAAAGAAATCGTGGGAGCAAGCAAGCTGATTTTTGGGAGGTACCTCAGAAAGGGAAGGTAAGAGGGAGGACGAGTGGACGGTCTCGGTAGCGGGGACGGCTGTGGCGACACCGAAATTCAGACAAAGTGTCGTGAGCCATTTCAAGTCGTCAGCTTGGGCTGCCATTGCTGCAGCTCTTTGTGCTCGCCTCTCTTCTACTTCGCCCCCATCGGTGCTGCACTGGTGGACATTTCTTTCCACCGATGCGTGCTGTGGGGCAGTATTGATAAGATAGTCCAGAATGGGTAGCGCATACGTGCTCACGCCGCGCCAGATCTCTGCTGCGGCTTCGACGTGAGAAAAAGTGTCGGGGGCAAAGCAGAGGGGGGCAGAAGGCTTACACGGTGTCGACAAGATTGTGTACTCACTCCCCTCCTTGTCACGGGCACTGGGAGAGTGGGGGATGGAAGAGTCTGCTAGGGAGGGAGAGGTCGAGGAAGCATGGTGGGAAGGAGGAACAGGCGGGTTGTACGAGGAGAGAATGGCTTCGAGGAAGGCTCGGCACAGCTGAAGTGGATCGGTGCCTGCACAAGGCGATAGGGAGGGAGAGGGAAAGACGGCGGAAGAAGTTGCGTTTGCCGCAAGGACGGACGTCATGGACTTCCTCTTTCTGGGTTTCCCTTCCCTTCCTCCCTCCCTCCCTCCTTCTCTTCCTCTGTGGTAGTAGCAGTCCTTCCAGACCCGCAAAGCCTCCCCCAAAATGGTCTTCAGGATCCGCGCCGCCACGGTCCGGTCCACTTTCCCTCCCTCTTTCCCTCCTTTCATCCCTTCCCCTCCCCTGCCCATCATGGTCTCTGCCACCACTTTTGCCATGCTTTCCAGTGCCCGCAGCAGATCTTGCTTGCTTTCTTTCGTCCCCCCGTCCCTTCCTTGTTCTAATTCTGTCGTAAATTCCCTCAAGATTTCCACCAAAGCCTTTTCCATTCCGGTCTTTTGTTCCTTGACAGCCTGTTTTCCTTCTTCTCTGCCCGCCTCTTTTTCCTCTCCTCCACCCTTCATCGCCCTCAATGTGGACAGCCAGAATAGGTTCAAACGTGCCTTTTCGCTCCGATACCGGGTTATGCGGCACGCCTCCCGGGCGATGGCCACCGCCTCTTCTTCCCTCCCTCCCTCTTCCCAGATCGCATGGGCTTTCATGCAAAGTACACTCCTATACTTTTCCTCGTCCTCAGGTGAGGTGACAACAAGGAGCAGGTCACATAATTGTTGCGTGAGATGCAATTCTCCCGCTCTTTCTGTCTCGGGTGCTCCCCCTCGTGCGTTCTCCTTGACTAAAGTCGGAGAAGTGTTGTAAGCCTGGTTGTGCACGTGCCACAAAGCCTTTTCCAGGACCAGCCGCAGGGAGGCCTTGTCTTTGTCCGTGAGAAGAGAGGGGGAGAGGGAGCAAGGAAGCGAACGGGTGTGGACAGGAAAAAGGACAGGTGAAGGAGGTGAGGCAGGAAGGAGAAGCGGGGTGAGAGAAGAGAGAAGGCGGGAAGTTAGGGCGTCATAAGTGGAGACAGGATGAGTGCAGCTGGTGGCCTGCAGGGCAATCGTGAGGAGGGAGGCTTCTTCTAGGAGGACGGACAGGGTCTGGAGCATGGTCTCCTTCTCATCCAGTCGAGCCTTCGCTCCAGCTTCCTCCACGTCTGGAGTGGACGTGCGCGGCGAGGGAACGAGGCGAGAAAGGAGGGCATCGAAGAGGGAGAATGCTTGGGGATGGTAGCGTTGGAAGGCAATGAGTGCCTTGGCGCCTTGCAAAGCAGCGGGAACGTCCAGGCTGACCAAGCGGAGGACGACGGCCGTGGCGGCCTCCATCCCCTCATCAGTTCCTCCTCGTAGAAGGTAACTGACCTTGGCAAGCTCCAACTTGGGTTGAGAAATGAGGAGCGGGGCATTTGTCGTGGAAGAAAAAAAGTCGTGGGCTTGTTGTAAAGATTCGAGCTCGTGCAGGCATATGAGGGCCTTGTCGAGGTCGCGGAGGTGCGAATGGCAGTCCGAAAGGAGCCACAGGAGGGAAGCGCGTGTAAGGAGAACCCAACGTGGAGGAGGAGGATCACGATCCGTGCTGTTGACGCTGCTGCTGCTACCACTGGTGCTACTAGTCCGGTGAAAGAGGGGTTCCAATGCCTGGAGGGTGGCGACGATGGTGTCACGCGCTTGCCGGTAGCAGCCTTGCAGCGAGCGCCCCTCGACGCCTCCCGCCTGCCGAACCAGGCGTCGCCCCATGTCTGCAGCGACGGTCAAGGCCCTTTTTAACATCAGCTTGGGCATGGCTGCGGCGATCTTCAGCAGAAGAATTGTCAACCGTGTCACCTCCTGTGCTTCAGTCCCCAGAATTCTTCCATCTTCCTTGGTGCCCCCATGGCCTCCCCTGCCATCATCCTGAACGCCCGCGTGTCCTCCCAGCTTGTCGGCGCATGTCTTACCTGCCGCCCGCTTTTTCTTTTTCCAAATCAGATCTAAAAGGATTTCTACACTTTTACTGGCGGCGACAATCACTGGTTCCTGCTCAGCTCCTAGCGCGACTGTCTTTCCTGCTACCCGTCCCCCCTCACGCTCCTCTTTATTTTCCAGTCCTGCTTCGCTTTCCAATGCTCGCCAATTTGCCACGCATAAATTTGCTGCCTGCATGCATTCTTCGTAAAGTCCTTTCTTTCCTCCCATTACGCCCAGTTTACCCTTGATATCAGCTTTTTGATCTTTTCTGTCCTCCGGCTTTTCCTTTTCTTCCTCCTCTTCCTCGTCTTCCTCTTCGTCTGTCTCGGCAGCTGCGGCACCATATAAATCTATGGCCACTTTTCCCGTGATCTTTATCCTTTCACATTGCCCTTCGATCGATGTTCCTTCGCTCTTGAGCCATAGAAGATATAGGCCGACGGCTTTGATAAGCAAACGTGCCTGCCGCGTCTCACTATGACGAGGAGGAGCAATCTTTCGAAGCCTTTCCGAAATCTTGCTCCCTTGAACAAGCAATGCGTTGCGAAAAGTGCCATCGCATCGTTGCACTTTACTGTTTACCTTGGCATTCGTTTTGTGAGACTCGTCGTAGGTTTCTTCCTCTTCCATTTGCTCTTCTCGCTCCTCGCCTCTTTTCCCATCTTGTTCAAGATGCCCTTTTTCGCCTTGTTTATCATAACGCATTCTATCTGATTGAAGGCAAGGCGCAGATGTCGTGTTCATAATTATCATCCACTTTCGTGTGTCATGCAATGTGTTAGTGAGCGTACTGAGGTCGCGCTTTTGCAGACACTTTCCACGCTGTATTTCGTCCAATGTTACGTTCAAGCGAGTGACGGCATCGACGAAGGCTTGTTGATTCGCGTCCATACTTAAGTCTATGGTGAGTGCAGCATTCGAAGAGGAAGATTGATAGACGGGGTGATGATAGAGAATTGAAAGGAAGCGTTGGGGACGTACATTATGAGACGGCCAAAGACGGCTCCCAACGAACGGATACAGACACTTAGACTGGCGACACGATCAAGCACTCTTAGAAAAATCGATTTGACCTTGAAAAATTGTCTTCACATTCGGAGATATAAGGTCAGAGCATAGAAGGGGGCAGTGAAGTGGTGATGTGCCGGGAGGGGGGAGGTTGGGGACGTAGATCGAAAGTCAAGAAAGCAAAACAATGCAAAAGTGGCAGGACATGGACGAGCTACACGGGCTGCGTGCATATTTTTAAGATCGCTTTGAATGTGCACGACCGCCGCGTGTCTTGATGTTGTCATCGTGGACAGTGAGTGAGGCGGAGGAGGCCAAGGACCAGGAGGGTGATGGGAGACTGAGGGATGAGAAAGCGAGGGGCTCGGGGCGAGACTTGTTGTCATGAAAGCTGGAGATCTCAGTCCATATACCATATCTTACGATATGTACCGTCTCTGTACCTCGTGCAGTATTCGTATGACGACATCTTTGCTGTGGGATCAGCTTCAGGATCTGGCAGCCGACGAAAATGTGTTGTCTTCTCAACTTCTACCTGTGAGCGAGACGCAACGTGCAGCAGAGGACGAGGGTGAAGCTGCCTTTCAGGCCTATCTTCATCAAAATGGCTCCCAGATTTTAAATGAAGAATGTCCTCTTCACGAGCTAGCTCGGGCTTTGATGGAAAAGGTGCAAGGCATAGAGACGACGCGCAACAGCGCGGCAAGGGCGACGGATACTGATATGGATCATAGCACGACCGAGTCACCTTCAAACGACACCAGCCCTATTCTTAAGTTCTTGTCAACTCGCGGATATCCTTACTCTGTTGACAGTGCCGAAGATATTCTGTTGTTTTTGGCCGGTGAATTACAGGCAGCGAGCACCTTAGCTGCCCGTGCTCGTTCATGCGAAGGGACAGGCGGGACGAATGCTACCACTCCTGTGTGCGACACGCACGTACAGCCCCCCCTTCCCTCCCTGGCAGGGTCGACCACGAAGAACGAGGAGATCCATGGCATTCAACGCCTCCTCACAAAAGCCTTGGACAATTTGCAAGACACGTCCTCGCTCTCGACCTCGACCCCCCCCCTCTCTCTTCCACTTTCATCACTGCTTGGCGCGTTGGAGAAAGCCGTCGACGCCCGTCTTGCCGCCCTTCCGCCCAAATTCCTTTCCCAGGATGAGCTTCTGGTCTCTCGAGTGCCGGAAAAGGGGAAGGAGGAGGAGGGAGGCCAGTGCCCACAGAATGCAGGCGCCATGGACGAGGGAGGAAGCGGCGAGTGCCCGAGAAAGAGCGAAGTACAGCTGACACCCTCTCAACGCCAGGTGCTGGAGGACATCGACGCTCACCTCCGCAACGATTTTGGCCTGCGGCGGCAGATGGTCTTGAAACGGCTGGACGTGAGCTTGCGGTCGTTTTTGTGGACCGAGAGGGTGGCGGAGGGCGACACCGTGCTGGTCAAGCGGGTGGAGGCAGCGAGACAGGGACTGAGGGAGGAAGTGAGGGATGAAATTGGCGTGGATGCGGCCTTGCGGGCGGGAAAGGGCGTGATGTACCAGCAAGCGTGCAAGATCACGCAGGAGAGGGGGAGGGGTTGGGGTCAAAGTACGGTGAAACGGCTAGTGATCGGATCGGTGCCTGATAGGGGGGGAAGGGTGGATGCCCTCCGGCCGAGCCAGATGGGAGAAGGGGGGGGAGGAGGGGAGGGGGGGAGCGAAGGGGGGGGGAGTGGCGGAACGAGG